CTGAAACTTTTCTCTTATTTTTCTTCTTTTTGTTTTACTTTCTTCATCTGTCTATATTTCTGAAATGAGGTATTGTAATTATTTACATTATTTATATTGTTCGGACTGACGTTCTCATCTTTATTGCCATATTCATATGGCAATAAACACGAGGACAACAGTCCGAACACTCTAAGTAATGTAAATAATTATCTTTCTTTCTTTCTTTTTTTCTTTCTTAAACTTTTCTCTTATTTTTTCCTTTCAGTTTTCTTTTATTTATTCAGTTTCATTTCTTTCACCTCCTTCCATTTTATTCTTTCTATCTTTCTTTTCTTCATTTATCTCTTTCTTCTCTTCTTCATTCCTGAATTTCAGGAATCGCTTTCAAATATTTAACATCCAGATTTTCATTGCGTTGATTTGATAATTTATCATGTATTTCACATTTATCTTTTCCTCTCTTTTAACTCTCTTTCTTTTTTTGAAATGACACGATTTTCTTTTGCCCATCTTTTATTTTTCTTAAAACTTCATTTCATTCTCCTTGAATTTTTTTTTCCTCAGCAGTTTTCTTCAACTTCCTCAGGGAACATAACTCTCTACATTTCATACCCGCCATTTGCTTTCCAACTTTTGATATTAAAACGATCTCTCTCCCTCTTACTCAACTACACACGCATATTCCAGTGATAGAGCTTCTTTTTTTTTCTTTTCCTATCGCCACCCATCTTCGACTGTCTTCTCTAACAAAATTGCTCCTTCAATTGCAAACCTCAGCCTTCCCAGAAACGTTTCCTAACGATAATCTTATCAGCCATCTATCATTCTTTTAATCGACGTTCTTCCTGTTTTACGAGCTGCGTCTCGATTCCCACCCAATTCGGTCACCTTTCTCGCCTTCTCGATCCTATGCCATCTTTAAGTCCCACATCTCACCTTTCTCCACCTCTGAAACACCTCGTAATGATACCCGCTCCCTGTTTCTCGATACTAACTGAGGGGCCCCGATGCACTCACTTCTCGCTACACTGAGTAATTATGGCGGGCCGATGCGTATATGGTACAAACAAATCGAGAGAACTAGTCCTAAATCCGCCACATGTGAAACCGAATTAATGGAGAAAGGATGTAAAAAGAGGCGTTTTTATTTCTCTGCCTACAAAAGTCCTGACGCATAAATATGTTTATGTGATCATATTCCCTTAAACATATACATATATGACTGTTTCTTTTATTACTTTTTTCACCCCAAGCACGGAAATAAAGTCACTAAGAAGCAAAAGATTACTGACTGAGAGAAAAACGAAATTATCAACGTTAGAGAACAATAAAATAATAGAAATTAAGAAGACACTAGATAATGTTCCATAAGTTTCTCTTCGTTAACAATAACACATTTTACCAAAAAAATATTTCGATTCGCATTTAATTTTTCGAGTCTGCTATTACCTGGATCTACTAAAAAAAAAAAAAAAAAAATAATATGCATGCCTGAGGATGGCTGAATGTACAGCCGAAAGTACTAGCAGAATAAAAAAATACAAAATAATTTGCATGCCTGAGGATGGCTGAATGTACAGCCGAAAGTACTAGCAGAATAAAAAAATACAAAATAATTTGCATGCCTGAGGATGGCTGAATGTACAGCCGAAAGTACTAGCAGAATAAAAACAAAGACAAAATAATTTGCATGCCTGAGGATGGCTGAATGTACAGCCGAAAGTACTAGCAGAATAAAAACAAAGACAAAATAATTTGCATGCCTGAGGATGGCGGAATGTACAGCCGAAAGTACTAGCAGAATAAAAAAAATACAAAATAATTTGCATGCCTGAGGATGGCTGAATGTACAGCCGAAAGTACTAGCAGAATAAAAAAAAGACCTTATACAACTTGCAGTTATTACAAACAAGGATCATAACATTCCTCCAGTTGTTCGTACATTATTGTAACTTTAATAAATTTGTTTGCGAAGATGTTTTTCGACATTTATATCATTAACTTTACTAATCTACTTCTTGTATGAATGATTCATGTAATATATAGCAAAGCACTAAAATAACAATAAACACATATAAAATCATATTTAAATAAATTTTAAAATAACATTATGTATACTACACACACACACACACACACATATATATATATATACATATATATAGATATATGTATGTGTGTGTGTGTGTGTGTGTAGTACAAAACAAAAATACTACACACGCACATATATATATGTATGTGTGTCTGTGTGTGTGTAGTATACATAATGTTATTTTAAAAATTATTTAAATATGATTTTATATGTATTTATTGTTATTTTAGTGTTTTGACGTTTCTAATTTTTTTAACGGCCGACGTAAACTTGAGTAAAACGACGTAAAGTGAGTTTTATTTTTCCATATAATATTTAAGAAAAACCGACGTATCTTCGAAACTGATTTAACTCGAAACGACTTAAGCCGAGGTATCACTGCATTCAAAAATGTCTGGGGAGGTCCTAAAAGTATGTTAAAGGTGCATGTACTGGTTTACGATTTTGAGATCTATTCATATACTTATCCTACTTACTTTCTCATCTACAGCAATGATCTGCCTAAGAGTAGACCTGCCGTCCTTTGTGGACAGCTATGCTGATGAAATAACGTTTTATCAGTCTTCTGGAATTAAGAAATAATAGTTATTAATAAGAAATGATCTCGACCAGACCCCCATCCCAAAATTTGACCTAAAATTTAAAAAAAAAAAAAAAAAGAAATTTAAATTCCTTCTTTCTTACTTTCGGAACCTTTCAGTCACCCTTAATGTTTAATGACAATAAATTAAGATTTATTTTTACGGGAAAACACATTGACAGTCTATTACAAATGGATTGCTGTTGGTCAAGTATCATTGCAAACGTTGCTGACACAATAAGAAAAAAATGACGATATATCAACATTCGTTGGGCCATTTAATATTGAGTAGGATTTGTATGAGAATCAGGATTAAGCAATAATTAGAGTTTATAAATACTTGAGTTAATACGTAGATGTTGGTTGTATTTATAATCGAATCCATAGATAGATCGTGTCGGTAATTAAATCCATATGTATATATAGAGAGGGGGCAGAGAGAGCGTTGTGTTAATACTAGTGTATATAGTTAGACATGAATTCAGCTTATACTTGAGCTTATCTTGTGTATAATTGAGACTATACGTTGATATAAATTGTATTCATACTAGTGTCAATAGATAGCCATAGGCTGCGTCCATACTTGAGCCAATAAGTATACAAAGATTGTGTTTATACTTGAGTCAATGTGTAGACATAAGTTGTGTTTATACTTGAGCCAATAAGTAAACAAACGTTATTTTTATACTTGAGTCAATATATAGATATAGGTTGTGTTTATACTTGAGTCACTAGTTACATATATGTTGTGTTTATACTTGAATCAATAGGTAGAAATAAGTTGTGTTTATGCTTGAGTGAATATATAAACATATGTTGTGTTTATACTTGAGTCAATATGTAGAAATAAATTGTGTTTATACTTGAGTTAATAAATAGACATATATTATACTTGAGTCGATATGTACACATAGGTTGTGTTTACACTTGAGCCATTAGTTAGGCATTGATTGTATTTATTCTTGAGTCCATTTGTACACATAGGTTATGTTTATATTTGAGCCATTAGGCAGACATAGATTGTATTTATATTTGAGTCAATATGTACACATAGGTTGTGTTTATACTTGAGTTAATAGGTAAACAAGCGTTGTTTTATACTTGAGTCAAAAGAAAAATGTTTTATAATTTTGTCAAATTCTGAGCGAGAAGTCATATTCTAGGGCATGTGTTGCAATCAGTGTATTCTCAGCTCCATAGAACCAGGCAATAAAACAAATTTGCTTTTATATAAGGTCAATGTAAAATTATTACAGAAATACACTGGTTATCAGGCAGAAAGTGACAATCAGGCTATAAGAATTAATACACGTATTAATGAGGTAATAGCTCTATTTGTGTAAAACTTATAGCGAAGAAAATGGCGACTTACCTCGTGAAACCAGGCGACAGCGCGTCGCGTGTATCCTACGACGGAAAATGTGGCGAAAAAGAAAATTACTTACCCAAAAAAAGGCCACGTATTCCGCATGATATGCTGAAGACGGAATATTTAAATTAAAAAACAAGTCCGTCGCAGGAATCGCTGTAAAAGTATTTTAATATGCAAAAATTGGTCGTCCTCTCCCAGTTGTCGACGAATGAAAAAAATGCTCGTCCGATAAAAGCAGTTAGTGTTCTGGAATCGGGAGAGTAAAGTTCGTGTATTTTGGCTACCGCGTTCGTCGGAGAATGAGTTATTTACTGACTGGTTACGATTTGTGAGATAGTACCTGCGAATCGAGTTTTCGGCATTTCTTTCTGCCCCCGATATTCGAGTCTGAACTTAGTGATTTATTCCCTGCTTTGTGGAAGTACAAATATTTCTTTGCTTTCAGAACGCGTACAAAATTGCATTGCGAAAAATTGCTATGAAAAGTTGTTAAGTTACGCCCTTTGAGAAAAATGTTTGATTTATTCTGTCAGTAGAGATTCGATTAGGATGTTGTCATCATTATAAGTACACCGGACATAGTCTCACTAAAAGGACGGACGGATATTCTGACATGAGAATTGCCTTGCGGATGTTGTGTCGTGTGGATTACCTTACAGACCAACATGCCGAGAAACTACGAACACCGATGTAGCTATTATCTTTGGCCCATTTATAGAGAAATACGTATTTCTAGATTTCAGCTGCGTATACTTAATTAGCACAGATATGGCGCTTACCTTCAAAAATGACGCACGAAATTAACCGGAAATGAAAAATCATGTACGGTCACATGAGTTCACACTCCAACAAAATCAATGCCCTGTCATCTTAGCTTAGAATATGTTGATTGCACCCCACTGCAAAGGGGTAAGGTGACCATAAAAAAAGAAGCACATTCATGTTGAATAGGAGTATATATTCATGCGGAAGACGAGTATATCTAAAGGACAGGCATAGATAGATAGATAGATAGATAGATAGATAGATAGATAGATAGATAGATATGAACAGACCGGGATAGAATGAGTGTATAGATAGATAGATAGATAGATAGATAGATAGATAGATAGATAGATATGAACAGACTGAGATAGATAGATAGATAGATAGATAGATAGATAGATAGATAGATAGATAGATAGATAGATCTTTCTATATTTCTGAGATGAAATATTATGTACACTATTTACATTATTCGGACTATTTTCTTCATCCCTGTCGTCATATTTATTAAAATGTTTCGGCCGTTGTACGCTCCGGCCTTCTTCAGGTGGTTGGAATGTCGAACTGAATCCTTTATTTCGCTCACTGGAATAGACTGTTCTAGTTCCACGTGCCATTTCTAATGGATGTCAGTTGTCAGTTATCTCCTATTAATTCCCCTCTCCAAGTTCTCTTTTAAGAAATGAATACAATAACGGAACCAGTAATAAGCAGTGCCTGAGAAAAGCGATAATCACAACAAAAATTGCAATATGAGCTCTGGTAAAAACATATATGGTAACAGCAAAAAATTGCAATATGAGCTCTGGTGAAAACTGTGATGAAGACATTATGTTTATAATATCCAATAAATTCTCGATGTCACATGGCACAGTGGATAAAGGCGTTGGTTAGATCCAGTGACAGGACTCAATGAGTGTGAGTTCAATACCTGGTTAAGGCAGTGGAGAACTTGGAGAGGGTAATTAACAGAAGATAAATGATAACTGACATCCATGAATAATGGCACGTGGAACTAGAACAGTCTACCCCAGTGAGCGAAATAAAGGGTTCAGTTCGACATTCCAACCACCTGAAGAAGGTCGGAGTGTACAACGGCCGAAACGTTTTAATATATATGGCGACAAAGATGAGGACAATAGTCCGAATAATGTAAATATTGTAGAATATCTTGATTGCACCCCACTGCAAAGGGGTAAAGTGACCATAAAAAAGGACCTTTATGCTGAATAGATGTAGAAACGGGTATAAACTTGATTAGTGTCTCCCTTTTTGAACCTCTTGAAGAGCAGACATATGTTTAGTTTTTTTACTATAGTATAAAGCGGGCCTATGTTACCTTTTTTCAGTTGAGTGTAAAATGGATGCATTAACTTAATGACAAAAAAAGTTATTTCTTTTCACGTTTATAATTTTAAAATGATATTGTCAATGCACTTAGCGCAACACTTCTCCATACATCACATAGATCAAATATTATACAGTGAAACGTTCAGACATAAATTCAGGTTAATACTATAAAAAGTTACGAACTTATTGATCTACCTTTATATAATATACTTACAAAATGTGATCTCGATCTAACTCTTCTCTCTATCGGCAGGTTGAAATTGGTGTCCTTAACCAATGAGAGTTTGGGGACTTGACTGTTGGTGACCTCTACACACACACACACACACACACACACACAAACAAAATTATTGAAAATTGTATATGTGTTATTTTCTAAGGTGGAAATATCATTAATAGTGTGTCTTTTTTATTTTATTCTTATTTTATACACCTTGACGACGCACGAGTTGAAATAATGACGTTCTATTTTCAACCTCGATTTGGAGTTTTAAAATTACTCTTCTGGCTTCCAGCATTATAAATTTTAAAATATTTTCCGTGAAAATTGGTCTGATGGAAATTTGATATCTTTCACAAAACAATTTCAATAAAAAAAATACACATTTTAATTTTTTTTTATTTTTATTTTACTATTTTTTATTTATCTTATTGTATACTTTTTTCCTTCTTGATTAAAATATGCGAAAGAACGTTTAGCCATCTCAAAAACATCGACTTCAAGGTAAAACGAATTAGCTTCAGGGATGTGTGTATATAGAAGCCTACATATTTTGAAGTAGTTTATTGTTGGAAATATTAATGTATGTGTGCGGGTGTCTTGTCAAGTATGTATGTATGTATGCGTGTGTCACTTCAAACGTGTGTCAGTTTTGCGTGTGTGTATTTATAGAGTGTATAGGATTAATAAATGATAAATGGAAATTTGTGGATGCGTTTCATTCAGTTAGGAGTTTCTTCAGACTGTTAAAATTTTATATTGAAAAAAGAAAATGTCCATGACATGCTCCAAAGCGCATTGGAAAGACACCGCAGGGCTAGAAGGCGAATGATGAACGTAAACTTTATTTCCATAATGGAGATTCACCCACTAAAAGGCCAAAGAGCCACTCAAGGCAAAGGGGTACTAAGCGAGGTTGTTTTAAGGTCACAGAAGAAGCGATAGGTGAATAATATAAGGATATAGATACGTGGCCGGTTGGTTAGAACGTTCGAATTCTGGCCATGAGTCCCGGGTTCGAATCTCATCACGGTCGATTTGTCAGGACGGAGACTTCCTGATGTTATCGGACCAGCGTGGTATTGTTTTCAGGCACTTTCCAAAGTGATCTTGTGAGTGAAATTAGGTAGACGAAACCCTTGAGGTCCGTCGATAGCTGAGTTAGCACGAAGTCACAAGTCATCGTGGCAGAGGGCTTGAGCGTGCTGACCTTGATCAAATTGTTGGTCACGCTAGATAACATGCTCTTTTCCCAGAAAATGTAACTTAGGTCAGCTCAGCATAGTTGCAGTATAAACCAGAGGTGGGCTCTGTGGGTGCTGAGCAAACACAAACGTGCCTGAGCAAGCGTCTGCAATAGGGATTGGCTAGCCGCCCTAGTAGACGGGCATCCTCGAATACGAGTGGCCGTCTATACATATACATATACATGTAGGATAGATAACGGATGACCCTCGAGTGGTTAAAATTGTAGTGGTCGGTGAAGCATTCCTCTCGGGAATTTGTCCATAATGCATGAGTTCTGGGGAAGAAACTGTCTCAGTGGAGCTTCCTCTTTACGAATGGAATACGAAGAGAATGAGAATGAGTCGACCCATTTTGCTTGTCCTGGTTTGAACAAAGGATTGTAGTTCACCGGAACACCTGTCATGACGATAGCAATGGAGCAACGACAAGAACCAATGATTAACATTCGATCATAATCAATATCATTCGTAATAATTCGTTGCTTTCATTATTCGGACTCTTGGCCTCATCTTTGTCGTTTCCGCCGTTGCAAGCTCCGGCCTACTTCAAGTGGTTGGAATATCGAACTGAACCCTTTATTTCGCTCACTGGGGTAGACTGTTCTAGTTCCACGTGCCATGTTTAATGGATGTCAGTTATCACTTATCTCTTGTTAATTCCCCTCTTCAAGTTTTCCACTGCCTTAACTGGGCATTGAACACACTCTTTGTGGCCTATCACTGGATGTAACCAACGCCTTTATCCACTGTGCCATGTATCTTTGAGGACATCTGTGTATGAATATCTGGGTATTATAAAGCTAATGCCTTCAGCCATCATTTTTCAACAGTGCTCATATTGCAATTTTTGCTGTTATCATTGTATGTTTTCACCCGAGCTCATATTGCAATTTTGTATTGTTAATATTCCTTTTCTCTAGCACTGCTTATTACTGGTCCCCATATTGTATTCATTTCTATGCTTTGCCGACTCAGGAGATTTTTGTGGCCTAGCATATGTGCTGATTCCTTAAGTCTACCCCAGTGAGCGAAATAAAGGGTTCAGTTCGACATTCCAACCACCTGAAGAAGGCCTGAGCGTACAATGGCCGAAACGTTGAGAGAGTTTCAATCATTAACAGATTCACTAAGAAACATATTATCTTACTCCCAAAATAAGTTTTGTTTGTAAGGAAATCATTCACCTTTCCCCCTAAATGATAATTCACCGTCGAATGAAAAGGTACTCTAAACAACTATATTTACTTTGATAAACGAAAACGATATTTTCAAAATATTATCTTGCCCCTTTTTGTGATGACTAATGTAATAAATCGAAATGTGTCCCTATTGTAATAGGATACTGAAGTGCAATAGTTCCATATCTTTATCAAATTACTCAAGTCAATTTTGGTTCAGATGCTCAATGTTAAATGTTTTAAACTCCCTGTCATTTTTATACCGGTGAGGATTTTCACACGTTGGCGAATCATCTGAATTTTAGGATATTATATACAGGGTTGTCCAAAAGTAGGTGGACTGTATGGAATAGATTTATTTATCGGTGATATTATTACAACTGAGTATCTTGATGAAACATTTCCTGAGAAATAGATTGGCCGAAGATGTCCCATTGATTGGCCGAAGAGGTCACATTGATTGGCCGAAGAGTTCCAATTGATTGGCCGAAGAGGTCTCATTGATTGGCCGAAGAGGTCCAATTGATTGGCCGGAGAGGTCCCATTGATTGGCCGAAGAGTTCCCATTGATTGGCCGAAGAGGTCCAATTGATTGGCCGAAGAGTTCCATTTGATTGGCCGAAGAGGTCCAATTGATTGGCCGAAGAGATCTCATTGATTGGCCGAAGAGTTCCCATTGATTGGCAGAAGAGGTCTCATTAATTGTTCGAAGAGGTCCAATTGATTGGCCGAAGAGGTCTCATTGATTGGCCGAAGAGTTCCCATTGATTGGCCGAAGATGTCCTATTGATTGGCCGAATAGGTCTAATTGATTGGCTGGCACGTTCACCAGGCTTAACCCCTAATGGATTTCTTCTTTTAGGGAGTACTCACATTTAAAGTTTATAGTCGAAAACCAAGAAGTGTCGGTGATTTGAAAAATTACATAAGAGATGCATTTCAAGAAATTAATACCCTAAAAGTCTTGTGCAAAAAAGTTTGTCGAAGCGTTAGAGGTCGACTTCAAAGCTGTGTTAATTGTGATGGAAAACAGTTTGGTCACCCGCGTTGATAAAATCTAAAGGCTTTTGTATTATTGTCCACAATAAAATTTAATTGTCAATGTAATAATTGTGTTAGTAGATATAATTGTATGTATATGTAGACTCAAAAGAAATGTAATTATTTACTGTTCACTTACTTTTGGACAACTCTGTATTTATATATCGTATTTCATAAATTCTATATATTTCAAAGAACTCATGTGAAACATTTGTTAATTAACAGATATGGCTTCTCTCTAACCGTAATCATTAAACTTAATATGATACCAATCCCCGTAATAATGCAACGGAAAATGAGATAAAAATAACTTTGAACGTTTAGGAAGAGTATTATACACTTATAAATAAACCTGTTTTACATTCTTTAAAAAAAATAAAAAATAAGCAATATGTTTTTGTTTAGGATGCCTGTTAAAATAGTAAATAAAACAGGATAAATATTTGTCACCATTTTTTCAGCGGTTTTCCACTAGGCTATTAGGTTTCGTCGCAAATATGATGAAGTAGATCATATTTTCGACGAAGCCAAAAAAGAGCAATAGCTTCAGAATAAGAAAAAAAAAGTCTCTGATGCTCCTTTCTCGTTTGGGGGTCTAACTTTTTTTCCCTTCTTTTAAATGGTTAATCAGGGCTTGAATTCGACTAATGTGAAAAAACAACACGGCTGCTAACTATGTTGTTAACTGTAGTAATAGGTTCAGCTGTCAAACAGAGTGCCAAAGTATGAGAAAATAAAATTAAGAAAAAAAGAAAACAGGATGTTCTTGCTTTGTTTCTGACTCGAGAATAATGGCGGAAACATCACCACTTGTTCTCTCACCATGTTCAAGCTAAATTTAAAAAAAAAAAAAAAAAAAATAATGGAAAAAGATAAAATAAGAAAAAAAACGAAAATGAAGTTGAATCCAAGCCTGGGAGTGCAATTCTGATTTACCCTGCCATCTATCATCGACGGTGCAGGGTACAACGCTTTGATGTGATTAGTTTGTAATTGCTAAACCTACTAATCGTGTCTGCATAACAGTCAGGGGTTGGCGCGAGAATCTAAATTCTACTGCTGGTAACACATATACAGAGCACATACACACATAAACAAGCTCACATATATAAATATATGCGTATTACTAACACTAACACATGTCTATCTATCTATCTATCTATCTATCTATCTATCTATCTATCTATCTATCTATCTATCTATCTATCTATCTCTATAGATATATATATGTGTGTGTGTGTGTGTGAAATAAGTAGAGTTCAAATAAATATATATATATATATATATATATATATATATATATATATATGAGAGTACATATACAGTTGAATATTTATATTATATACAAAAACAAACGCATACATAAGGCATGTATATAAAATGGCGGACAGTAATTACTACAAGTAATAAAACAGTGCTGGATGTAAACTAACAGAGTCAAAATTTATATGAAAACGAATTACATGATGGCATTTCAAGTTCCATGCACGTGTTAATCATCAGGTACAAACTGACGCCAGATGCCTGATGATAGCCATGTGCATGAAATCTAAAAAAGCACCGAACGGTGAGGAATAGCTATATAATACGTTTTAGTATATATATATATATATATATATATATATATATATATATGTGTGTGTGTGTCTTCCACTTTTATCGCTGGAAAGTTTCCCATTTCTCTTTCTCACTTAGCTCCCTTTCTTTTTCCACATGTAAATTTCTTCTTTTTTTTTTTACCTTTCATGGGAAACTTTCCAATGACGGAAGAGGAAGATGTGACTCGTTAACTGTATTTCGGAATAAAATATTTTAGTAGCATAGTGATTTCCCACCTAATGAAACTTTAAAATATTTTTAACATTGAAACGAAATGTACAATTTTGTGGTGGGTATGTGCATGTTGTAATGTAACACTGAATAATATAATAATATATATATATATATATATATATATATATATATATATATATATATATATATATATATATATATATATATATATTGGCAAAGTATATCAATATTCAAACATATATTGTAAAATAAAACAGACAACGAATATCTACTTTCCTGGATCATGAGCCATTCTAAATTTCGTATGGTGAAAATAAAGACAAAAATTGTCCAATATTGGATAACATTTTTATTTGCTGTTCCTCGATTTAAGCTTTCGGCTCACCTGAGCCATCTTCAGGGTGGTTATTCGGGGATTTAAAAAATATATTCACCATTAAAGATGATATTCTGTTATACTGACATAGAAAAAAATAAATATGCATGGATGAATCTTGAAGAATTTTGTTTTAAATACTGAAAACATGCAGTTCTTTATTATCATTGAAACGTTCGAAACTCCTAGAAAAAATGTTGACGTTTTACTATTTATCCTACAGATTTGACTGCTTGAGAGAAAAAAATACCCTAGGAGTCATTTCCTTGTTCAAATTTAAATTTAATTTAAACCAAAAGGAGAAAAAAAGTTGGTGGTGTGTCATGAAATATATTTATCCAAGTACCCTGGGTAATTTAGTTTCAGAATATATATGGATATAGGTGGCTATCTCCAAAACCACAGGATGAGTTCGATAAAAAAGAAGCAGACAGACAGAGGTTACAACTTTATATATATAGTTATATATACAAATTTCATTAAAGAGGAGAAGCAGCGACTTAGATTAAACTTTTTAATTGATTTTTTTTTTGTGTTCACGTAAGTGTTTTCTTTTCTGGACATAATGTGTGTAAAAATTGTAGGAATATTAATATGAATTCACAAGCCCCTTAAGAACTGCTTTCTTGATCAAAACTAATTCATTAATAATTTTTTTAGACATACCACTTCGTTCTTATCAACAAGACACGTCACTGACGATACCTCGATTAGGATTCATTTAAAAACACGCGGAAACCTATCAAACTCAATTCGTAACATACTTGTATAAAATATTAGTAAAATGGAGTTATCCACACGTAAGAAAAGATTAAAAAAGCACTAATAATAAAACACACAGACACGCACACACACACAATAGCATCAACCTATGAAAACGGCCAGAATGTGCTGACCGTGTTTGGAAAATAACAAAGAAACATTCCTATGATTCTTCCCTACAGAAATAAATACATAAATTTAGTTAAAAATAAAAATAAATATCATCATTGATAATGGCTAAGCAAAAAGGCGAAAGCGGTCGGATAAGAAGAAAAATGGGACAATTTTTAAACACTTTATGTCCAGAAACGTAATCGCATAAAAAGAAAAAGTAATAAAAAGATTAAACGTAAAAGTACCTTATCGTTTTTTATGTAAATTGTATAAAGAAGATTGTTTTCCATGTACGCAATTGGATATATATATATATATTCATTTCTGTAGTTCATTGCCAACAGCAGGCAGATATATTTCTCCTCCCGATGATGGCCATTTCGGTCGAAACTAGTCGAGGAATCTAAATGGAATAATAATAATAAAAAAACGAAAGAATATTAATCTACAACCCAGTGTGTCTAATGATTTTAATTTTTTAATTTTTTATTTGCTTATTGTTCAAGATATATATATATATATATATACAAGTATAGGATTGGAGTATACAGAATAAATTCCAATAATCAAACAATACTATTCTTAAAATAGTGCTCAATACGGAGTAGAGTAAATATAATTTATTCGAAAGTTATAACATAAATATGTTATAAAATCAGTACAAAAATAGCCATTTTGTTTCAACATATCACTCTGTCTTTTCAACTTTTGCTTAGGTCGCTTTTTTAATAGTTTTGCTCGGGGAAGATAACTAGGGTTATTTATTCATTCAATGTTTAGATTGCTTACTGTAGTCTATTCTGTTATTTTGGCCGAAATAACAGAATGGACTACAGATAAACAATCTTGACATTGAACGGATAAATAGCCTAGTTATCTTCCCCGAGCAAAACTATTAAAAAAGCGACCTAAACAAATCCCCCACCCCAATTTATTTTTACTACTTTAATAAAACATCAAATACCGAAAAGAATAAATAATACAAAATGAAAATGGAAAACAAATAAACAAAGAAGACACTCCAAAACTGCAAAAATAACCGCCATAATAGATTACCCACAATTCATCACTGACACACACACATATATATATATATATAAATACTCAGGAAAAAACCAACATTCGCGACCTGACGATTGCGCCTAGCATGAAACAGCCTGTCACCTCCAGTGTTGACATCAATGTTCACTATATATATATATATATATATATATATATATATATATATATATATATATATATATATATATATATATATATATATGAATTTTAAAAATTGTGCTCACTAGTATCCGAGGATGCCCGTCTACTAGTTTGGTTAACCAATACCTTTTTGCAGACGTCTGCTCGGCACGTTTTGTTTGTTCAACACCCACAGAGCTCACCTGGAAGCAGGGGAAGCAGGATGAATTGTCCGAACAATGACCTCGTTCACCATGAGTTGTGACTGCGTTTTATCACAGCCATTGACTGCTCCCCA